CCCCCCCCCCCCCCCCCCCCCCCTGCGAAGCACGTCGCCCAGTCGGCGGCAACCTCTCCACATGGCGGAGGCGGCGGAATCTCCGCCTGCTCGTCACCAGCGCCGGTGAAACCGCCGCCACTTCCGCCGCACCACAGCAAGTTGCCTTCCAGTCTGCCGATCCCCCCGCCCGAGACTCCGCGGGCCCTCGAAGACGGCGGCGTTGACCCGACAACGACGACGGCGACGGCCTCGCCGTTCTCCTTTTCGCACGAGGCAACTACTACTAGTACGGCAGCGGGAGTTTCTTCTTCTTCTTCGTCGTCGTCGCCGCCGCCTCCTCCTACCCCGCCGAGGGGTTTCCGGCCCGGAGAGGCGGCGTCTTCGTCTCAAAGGGCTGTCTCGTCGCCGACGTCGTCGCCGCCTGCTGCCGCTGCTGCTTCGAGCCCCGCTTCTCCACCGAGGGTGATGTCCTCGCCGCCGTCGCCCTCGTCGTTGTTGTTGTCTCCCGCCACCACCACCGCGACAACCTCCCCCGCCGCCCGTGCCGCCGCCGCTAGTCCCACCAAGGGCAAGGGGGCGAACGGGGCGGCGTCAAGTCTGGGCGCGGACGACCTGCCGACGCCCCCGCCAAAGATGTACTCCTCCAGACAGCTGCAGCAGCAGCAGCAGCAGCAGCAGCAGCAGCAGCAGCAGCAGCAGCAGCAGCAGAGGTTCTCTTCGCAAAGGGGGAGTAGTTTCAAGGTTAAGTCGGGCGGCGGCGGTAGCCCGGTGGTAGGGGGCGGTGGAAACGAGGACGCGATGGAGTCGGACCTGGACTTCATCAGGGAGCTGACGCGCTACAGGAGCGGCGCGGAGCGAGCCGCTAGGAACGACGAGTGAGCTTGTCCCTCTTCTCTTGGTCGTGTGTTGAAAAACCAGCGAGGATCCTCGATTTTGCTACATGAGGAAAAATTTCATTTCGATAAAAAAAAAAATTCCCTCTCGTTGTTTGTTGTCATTTGTGGATGGAAGGCGTGCCGATAAATTCGCGGGGTGCGCTACACATCTGGACGGAACAAGGTTGGTTGTCTACCTACGCTCCTGAAAAAAATGTTTGTTCCATATTCATACATTATGAGAGATGTTATGAAGTATGTTTTTCGGTCTCCCACGGCAGGTACGAGTTCGCTCTCGTCTTGAACCCAAACGACGAGTACCGGGACGCGGTGGAGGTGCTCGAGCTTGCCCTCGACCTCGGGGATGGGGGGGGAGGGGTCACGACCAGCCCGCAGAAGCTGGACAAGGTGAAGCGGGTGAGGGAGAGCCTCGGGGGGCTTCAAGATCAGCAGCAGCATCAGCAGCAGCAGCAACAGCAACGCTCTTCTCCCGACCGCTGTGAGTTTTCCATTGTTGTCGTTGTTGTTGTCATAATTCACACTAAAAACCGTTACGGTCTCCGCTCTGTACTGGTCCAACTGACGCGCGCACGCCTGCCGTGGTTAACTAGCCTAAATAGGGGTTTCCGTGCGCGTGTTTTCCGGGGGTGTGTGGGTGGTCAAGGTGGAGGCACGACGGATCTCGTTGAGACCCACCTCGATCGCGGCACGGGGACACATGGAGTTGGAACGTCTGGAGCTTTATTTTCAAGTCGTTTTTGACGTGAATACGATCAACACTGCTGTCGGCCATGGCTGTGCGCACAAAAGAAGAGAGACATAATACAGCGGGTCTTACACGTGTAGCGACGAATCGCCGTTGATTTTGATTTTTGGATTTGTCTTTCGCTCGCTCCCTACCCCCTCCATTACCGGTACGTGGTTACCAAGCCGGCGCGTGTGACAGTCCCGCGGGACTGTCAACTTCACAGAGCGGCCCGGGGAGCGGCCGCAAGGGGGGGGGGGGTCCCCCGGTGGTGAGGCCCGGTCTCTCCGAGGGGCTTGAGGGGGTGGGTGGGGGTCGAAGGACGCGGCTGAGCCTGCTGGACGACCTTCAGGAAGAGGAGGTGTGCGATGGGCGTTGTATTGAAACTATGCCGTGTTTGATTGACACCGCCGTTTGTTGTTTTTGTGTCTGCCGCAGGTTGTCAATGCTAGCGTTGTTGATAGTCGTCAGGGTAGGGGTTGGGGTTGGCAGGTATATTGGCTCGGTGGAGTTCGTTACACTCAACACCTTTTTGTTTCTTATTTGTGCTTGAACTTGTAAACCTCGTACTAACAAAATAAGGCGATGGCTACAGTTATCCGAAGCGTCACGATTCACACCTGCTGGGCATTGGGCTTTCTAAAATCTCCAAACGTCTCTTACATGCCTGTGGTGATACATTATTTCTTCTTTGGCTGGGCTTGAACAGACGGCTGTTGGCGAGTCATACCGTCTTGGCCACTCTGAACTAGTACACGGTTCATTTGCTTTAATCCAGTTTGTTGGCCACGGAAAGGTTGTTCATCTCTACCGAACGCGCCAGCATTGAAAGAACCGTAATTGGCGCAATCCCCCCCCGGTTCCTGTTTAATCAATGTGGAACCAACATGGACTTATAGAGGTTTTCTGTGTGGGCGGGCAATGTTAATGTTCAATCAAGTGCAAACACGTCGTGAGAATCAATTCCTCAACTTCCACACCACAGTTGCACCAATTCCTTTAGTGGTGGCGGCGCGCTTTGGAGAAAATGTGTGCATCCTTATCCTTTGGTTTTCTTTTCGTCGGCCTATTTCGAAAGGGGTGGTAGGTTGGCGCAATGCTTCGTGTTCCTCTCTCTATATATATAGAAGTATATGTATGGCTCTCGTACACACCACAGTATCCTTTTTTCCCGTCCGTATGTACATCAACCCGTCGGTTGTCGTTACAACGCGCTCCGTATTCCGTTCTTGTTCTGCCATTTTTGTTGTTGTTGTTGTTGTATCCGGCGTGCCCAAGGGGCGCTTGACGAGCCGCAGGAAGAAAGAGCTAGAGCGGAAGAAGAAGCACCGCCTGTTCCACTTCGTCCACAAGATGCAGGAGGGCGTCATCGTCCGGAGGCACCTCGCTCACCGCACCTGCGATCAGATCGTCCTGCAGAGCACCGTGAGTGGAAACTGCACCCATGTTTCCTTCGGGGGTTGCGGGGGGGGAGGGGGGGGTGTACTCATAGTCGTGCGTGCCGTAATCGTTAGACCGTTGACCTCGCATCCCTACACAGCCGGGGCGGAGCAAGCCGGGTTCTCACCGGACCGGGCGCTCACACCACTAAGCGCGAACGAAGCGCCGTGGGGTGTTCGTCGGGTCGCGTGGAGGTGGCGCTGCACCCTGCTAAGGGTGTTCGGCATCATGTGCTTACTGAGTTGGGGGGGAGGGGGCACACTCATGGCTTGCATGCGTTATATAGTGGTTATGCACAGGCCGTTTACCACGCGTCCTCGAGGGAGGGAGGGGGCAGGGCGTCTTGGGCACCATCGATGTGTGTGAAACTACGTGTACGCTACTTTGACCGTTCGTCGTCCGGAGAAGTAACTTCTTTCTGTAACGTGGATATGATCCAGGACGCAAGTTGGGAGCATGTGCTTTTTGTGTCATCGGGAAGCACCAATCGGGTGGGTGCAATCCGCGTGTCTTCGTGCGTAGTGTTTGTAGGTGTGTGCTTTTTAGTGCTAAGGTTATGCCGGACAGACCGTCTGCCACGTACGTCCCCTTGTAGTGTCGCTGTGAACGCGGGATGTTCTATACCGCTGGTTGCATTCGTGACGTTGATTCCGCCAAGGTATGACGCTGAGCACATACAATAGTTGTGTATCCCTACGGCAACGCAGCGTTTCTACCCTTGTCGATGAGGGAAAATAATGGAGAATCAATCTCGCGATGTATTTTTCTTAAGGTAGACGCCGCCGAAGGAAGGTGGACGAAAAAATATCCTGTGTTGTGTTGCTCCTCCTGTCTGTGTGCCCTCGGCTGATACTCTACGTCCAAGAATATGTCGAACGGCGTCGAAGTCTCACGTTCGCAATGAATTGGACGACACATTGCAAATGTGTATGCATACACGTTACATGAAGCGCTCGACTCGAAGATTGGTGTCGTTGTATTTTGCCTCAAGCCGAATCCAGGGAACAGACACGAAACATTCGTTTTTTTCCTTGTACAACAAACATCGTTTCATGACATGAGGCATTCATTTTATTCTTGTAAACAAACATCGTTTTCATGAAAAAAATAATAATGTGTCTCCACAGGACGACTGCCGGACCATCTCCTGGAAACCCTTGCTGGCCGCGGACGGCGGGGCCAGCGGCGGCGGGGGCGGGGCAATCAGCGGCCTGTTTCAGAGCCTGAGGAGGGGAGCGGCGGGCAGCAGGCTGAGCAAGAAGAACCGCGCCGAGTGCGTCAAGACCGCGCACATCGCGGTCGTCCTGCCGGCGACCGATCCCGACCCGAGCCAGCCGGGCTTCTTCGGCACCCGGGCGCTGCGGCTGTCCGAGGACATCCCCAACCCGTCGCGGACGTTCAGCCTGCTGTACGGGGACTGGGGAAGGGGGCACTGCGGAATGGAGGATCAGGTGCAGGGTACCCTGGACTTGGAGTGCCCCGACGACGGGATGTACGCCATGCTCTTCCAGGTAGGTGTGGAGTCGGGGCGGCGAGAGGTGGCGGGGGGGGGGGTAGGGAGAGAGAGAGAGAGAGATACGCAGACAGTCGTGCCTCCGGCATAACAACGTCTGATCTGGTACCTGGTAATAAGAGGGTCGAAATCGGTTGGCACGGACTCGACCCGCAAATTGTGGTAGTTGGGTTGTACCCACTTTTTCCGTTATGAGAGGGTCAAGGGTCTTTTGTCACACCACCCTCTTGTATCGGAGCCAGGACTGCTGTATCTGCATCGCATAGAGAGACGTCAAATAGTAGCACGGAGATGGCAGGTTACGGGGAGGGCTGAGAGAGGGAGCAGAAGAGATACAATGACATAGGGGTGGGAGGGTAGGGAGAGAGGGTATATATAGAGACAAACGCGAGGGAGCGGATGTGAGGCAGAGACTTACACAGACAGCCAGACAAAGAGAGATTGAGAGAGGGGCAGAGAGTAGTTCTGCAGCAGTAGTGAACGTTCAAGCCTTTAGAAGATGTACCTGCTTGCGCCTCTCTAACTTGGGTGCTGGCTTGCACCTTTTTAAGCGAGTCGCTGCCGACAACAGACAGCACTTCCGGGGGCGACACGGTCGGTGACGAGAGAGAGGTCACGTCATGCCGTACAGTACCCTCCCTAGCGTTGTCGCATTGTGCATTGCCCATCCTCCCCTTCACTTTCAGTGGTCTGATGGCCACGGCATGCACGGCTATGGGTACCCCCCCTCCCCCCCCCCCCCC